AAAGAAGAGAGAAACCAATTATTATTTTTATATAGTAGATGAAGATGCTACTGTAGATGATGCAAAATCACTTTTAGAACCAATTATTTCTTTTATATAGTAAATCAAGCAATTGGATCACTTGAACAAAGGTTTGATCAATTCATATGTAAATAATAATAATAATAATAATAATAATAATAATAATAAAAATAAAAATAAATAAATAAATAAATTGGATTTCTACTTTGATATTGTTTTAAGACATGTAAATTTTTGCAATCTTGATAGCTAAAATATATTTTAAGAGTTAATTTTGCGAAATCTTTTACCAAAAGAAATAAAGACGGCTTTTGATATATTGACTTATTTAAAAAGAGTGGATTGCTTTCTGAATACATATATTGCTTATAGAAAATTATTGATAATTCCTGTTACTGTTGCTTCTGCTCAAAGAAGTTTTTTAAAATTGAAGTTATTAAAATCTTATTTGCGATCAACTATATTACAAGAACGATTGAATCGATTAACTTTGATATCTATTGACCAAGACTTTCTAGAAAATATTGAATATATATATATATATATATATATTTATTTATTTATTTATTTATTTATTTATTTTTATTTTTTTTGCAATGAAATAATATTATTGATTTTTTTTAATATATGTTTTAGTTATTTGAAGGGACACCATTTTATAATTTCGCATAGGGCATTAAAAATCTCAGGGTCGACTCTGTATATATATATATATATAAAGGACAGTAAGACGAGCCTTTATTATGATGAGTAGGGAAAAGGAAAGACACGAATTGAGAAACTATTTTTAATCATCATTCCAACTTAATTGTTTACCTTTTCCATCGATATCGAAATTTTAATGTTACAAGGGTATATTGTGTATTCGTCTATGTGTTAGGTCAAATTAATATATTTTATTTTCCCTATATAAAGGATATTGAGGTAAACTTCATTTAGGATGAGTACCTAAAAAAAAAAAAAAGACACGAATTCACGAACTATTTGTAATGGCCATCCCACCTTAATAATATTCATCATCTTTTCCATCAATTATGAAATTTTAATCTTATAAGGGTATTTTGTAGTTCACACATGTATTACGTCGTCTTAATATATTATACTTTCTATATAAAGGATACTAAAGTGAGACTCTATTACAATGAATAGTGAAAAATAAAGAAAGAGATGAGTTTATAAAATATGTGTTTTCATCATCTTCTTTCTTATAGTAAAATTTTAGATAGAGTGATAAGCAAATTTTGTTCTCGAATTGAGAACTAATTACACCTATATTATAATTATCAGATTCGTGTTATCTTCATGTGCTCGACGATATGGTTGATTGAGTGTTTATTCCAAACACATGTTATACTTTTCGAATGTGACCTTAAAATCATTTAGTGGGTTACATTAATGCTCTTAGATTTTCTCAATTATTTATTAAGCCCCCGTTTGACCCTCATTCTTAGTTAATTTTAATGGATGGAATAGTGTTTTTTTGAAAAATGTGTGGTTGAAAAAAATGAAATTTTTTTAATTTGTGTGTAATATTATTTTATAAAAGATTATGTGGTTGAAAATAAGAGAAAGAATGAGAGTGAGAACGAGAATGAGAATGAGATGAGAATAGGGGTCAAACGGGGGCTAAATGAGAAAATGTTATAAAGTAGCTTTGTGTTTGCTTTCATTTTCGTTCAATGGGTGTGGCTTTGCTTTTGAATAATTTTGATTATAATATCACACTAATTGCTTCTGTTGCTGGATTCTGTTAACATTACTAACTTTTTCTTAAACTTTAGTCGATTGGACTAATTTAAGGATTCAATACCCAAATTATGAGTAGCTAATTAAAAAGGTTCAACTTTGCATGCTCGTTCTTACCCATCAAAAAAAAATGTAAAATGTTTAAGTTGGAATTGAAATATACTATATATTTTTCTAAAATATTAGAATAACAGTGCTTTTAATTGACTTTATTTTTTATGGAAATATTATTTTTTTTCATTTAAATTCTTACTTTCGAGTGTTTGATTGACAATTTTTTCCATGAAAAATATTTTCCAACTTTTGATCATGTGATTACATTTTCCTCAAAACAAAGGAAAAACATTTTCTTTAGGAAGTAACCATTTTTATTTTTCAGATAATTCACTCTCTTTCTTTCTAAACTATCAACTCTCTCTTATCTAACTAATAATAAAAAATGGACAATTATAATATTTTCTATATTGAAAACTAAATCAACTAAACACATTTAATTAACAATTTTCATCCATGCAAATTTTATGCTCGCAATTGAACGTTCTCTAAGTTCAAAATTTGTTCCTTTTTATTTTTAAACTGAACTTAACCGTTGTTTATCTTCCATTATTTCAAAACTCTTTTTTTTTTTACACTCATTTTCAATCACACGTTCATACGATAAATTATTCTACACGTAAATTCAAAATTATTCTCAAAAAAATCACTATTCAAAACAATGACTTTTTCAAAAACAATTGTCACCAAACAGGGGCTTAGAGTTGTTAGGCCTCAATATGCCCAATATTGGTACCATGGCATGCCACCTATTTGAATAAAGCCTCTGTCCCGACTTGGGGACAGGGTTGAAGACGTGTGGCGCCCTTGTCCCCAAGTCGGGACAGGGAGCAAGGTTGCACCTATTTCGTTCATTCTTAGCATCATCTCTAAAGACTAATCGTAGCCGTTGAAAAGATAGTCTAAGGTCGAAGATTATCCCTTGAATCATCATTGAACTACAAATGCCGCCCATTTTCACCAATAACAGCGACCTCACCGGCTCACCGCCTTGAAGAGCACTCACTTAAAGAAAAATATTCTAGCATGAAGTGATTGTTGCGGTTTGGGAAAAAACTCTTCCTATAAAAGGGCCATTTCCCTCTTATAAATAGACAACTATGAGAGAGTTCACATAAAAATTATGCATTTAGCTCGTACTTAGTATACTTCGATCTAGTTTATTTTAAGAAATCATAAGTTTCCCTCATAAATTCTTATTAGTTGATCAAAAAGTGCCACGTAATTTTTTACCATCAATAGAAACAATAAATGATGTAATTTGATCATAATCTAGGGATACACCTTTTGGGCCACTAATGGATTGAATGAATAATCGCCCTTGTTGTCAAAAAAATGTATTTTTAAATAGTGTATTGATGGAAAAAGTATGGTTAAAAAATTAAAAAAAAATTCAATTTGCGTGTAATATTATTTTATTGAAAAATGAATGGTTAAAGTAATGTCAAATCACCATTGAGGAATGCATTTTGATGGAAAAAATGATAAGGACTAAATAGGCACGAATTTTAAATGAAGGGACGTGCTTTTCCATTCAGCACAAGTAAATATATATAGGTAAAAAAAAAACAATCATGCTTGAGGTACATTATTGTTTGCACTTTGTCAATGGTATTATCCAATTGGATATTTTAAAAAAATAAATTTTTGTCCAATTATTCGTTGACGATAATACAAACGTCAATAAGAATGTAAATAAATGAGTGTAAAAATGACATAATCCTAAACCAAATCTCCTAAAAAAATCTTCTATTCGAGTATGTGGTCATGGTGAACGGTGCTGGCCAATCGACATGACCAATTGACATGAAGCAATTGTGACCCTAGAGTCGAAACTCAAATCCAAGCCTTATGGTTAATAACTTCAATGATATGAGTCTTTCTTTTATTTCTACATCCCTTTTCCGTCTATTTTATCTCTCATGTTTAATGTGGCATACACCCTCTTTTATTTGCCATAAGGATCCGTTTGATTGTAAAGATGAAATTTGGGTGGAAAGAAAACGAATTGAATTGCCTAAAACTTGTTTTATTGGGAATTGGTAATTAAATGTGTTTGATTGGTATACTTTTCCACCTGAAAATTGTTGAAATTTTTTATATTTGGTGTTCGTTTGACTTTATTTTTCATGAAACTTGTCAACTGCAGGGACAAAATTTGTTACAATTGGGGATAGAATTTGTTCCAGTTGCCAAAATATATTTAAAAAAAAAAAGTGGTTGTATGTTGTTTATGGTACATAAAATATTCAGTCAAAACTGCTCCTATATAAGGAGCAAGGTATTGTAATGTAGTAGGGGAATCCGTCGTTTCGGCTACCATGTATGTAGGGGTATAGTCAGCAATTTGACAGCAAAAGCAATAAAAAATCCAATATAAATGGTGAGAATTGATTTTCCACAAAACCATGGAATTCGCACATGTGTAGAGAGAAGTTGGAAAACAAATTTCATGAAAATTTTTAGCAATCAAACAACACAAATTGAATGGAAATGGAAAACATTTTCCAATTTTCATGAAAAATCAAGACTATCAAACATGGCATAATATTCCTGTGTTAACATTAGCATTGGATTCTTGTAATAAGATAGTGAAACTTCCGTGAGAATCCTTTTAAGTGAAAATTAACTTTTTGAGAATCAACTTTTTTATATTTTTCCCTAGTTGGTATCCAATATGAGTACTTCAAGAGTACGTTTGTTGAGCTTTTACGCGTCACAATTACTCTTAAGTAATTTTTTATTTTAGAAAATATTTTTTTATATATTAAAAAGTTAATTATTTTGAGAGTAAAATTGAAGTTACTTTTAAAATAAACAATGTATTTATTTCTAGATATACTTGGATGTAATTTTATAATGCCAAACTTGCACCTAATATTGATCTTTCCAAATGTGGTGGGGGGAAAAAAAAAGAAAATTTTTTATAAAAATTTCCCCCCCCCCCCCTCCCATCCTCCCCCCAAAAAATGAAAGATTTGGGATCCGAACTGCAATTATCCCAAATTTCATTTAGTTGCAACTTGGAATGGCATAGAAAAACAGGCTCGCGTAATTTGGGGCTTTAGGCGCAATTTTATAGGGAATCTTGTTTAGAGAATAATAATAAAATTAATTTTGTGGAACAAATGATCAGCGATTGAAATTCATTGATCATCAATATTTAGTATCGATAATTCTAAGCAAATCATTACAAACAGAGATCTCATTGATGAGCATCAATAGTACTGTTGTTTACAATTACAATCAATATAACAAATTTATCAACGAATAGACCATCGAACCAATGCCAACGACTAACAACATCGTTGACGGAGAAGCTATTGATGTCATGATTCCTTCTTAGAAAATTCTAGTTTTCCAAAAAGTTGTTAATGACATATGTAACTTGAGATATTTTTTTTATTTATATTCTTACTTTATCTAAAAGCTATTTTCTAACGTGTTATTTTGTTCTTGAAAAAAAAGTAAAAATCGTTGTTAGTATTAAATTTTATATTTTTATTACTTTAGTTATAGACAAATTTCGTCGATAAATCTATTAAGGCAGTTTTTAAACTATCATCGGTGTTAAAACTCTTTCAATAATTTTAAATATTTTTGAAAAATAATTATTTTATTGCCAATAGATTTTCCCACAATAACATTTAATTTTATTATTGTTGGTTTCAGGGGCGGACCTGAGGGCCCTAAAGGGTCAATTGACCCCCTAGTTTTTTTTGGGTCGGGGGGGGGGGGGGGG